AGTGAATTGCTTTAATTCACATGAATTTACCCAGTAATACATGGAGCATGGGTGGTGTTCGCCAGGACGTCTCCTTCTCCTGCAAGGAGGGCTGGTGCAAAGCATGCCGCTTGGGTGAACGCGGCGCTGATGGGGCGATGGGTCCAAATCGGGATACCTGCAAAATGGACCGTTGACCCTCCAGCAAACCAACATGATATAGAAAATATTGGAAAAAACCACCATGGAAGTAATTAGATCATTTCCCCAAAAGAAACAGAGAACTGACATGAATTTTCCAGAGCCATGATAGTTTACTGGATGTTTTCTTTCAAGCAAGAATGAGGAGATTCAGTGGCAAGTGGATTGCAGCTTCCGATGATTCACAAGATCCCAAACTGCAACAGGTCTCATGGTTTCGACATGTGATATTTTGATGAACCCCGCCCGGCTGACGAGGCTGGCATACCGATCCAATGTCACTTGGATATGCCAATCATTCGTGTGGCTAGGGTTAGGTGAGGCCTGTGTGTAGCCATTGAGCGATTCTAAAAAAATACAAGGGCTTGTATGGAATCTATGTTAATGACTGGATTTAGACAGTGCTGCCTAAACAAACTTGATATTGTCTGTAAATGTTGGCTACATTTGCCAAGCTGCAGTTCCTTTCAGAGGATGGGATGAGAAGGGAAGAAACATGCCCTTTTGCTGTTATTGCATGGTCACGAAGGCACCCGTACGGCACCTGTTGAATACTATTGTCATTATATTGGCCTGCATTGATGGGTTCATGTTTGTATTGCCATGCTGGTTCGCTTGTCTTAACTGACGATCTTAGCGTTACCGCTCTATTTCGCATAATATGAATAACCATGATTAACCCAACGAAAGTCAAGAAACCATGTCCACCTGTCACCAGAAAGGCAAAAAGCCATGCCCAATTGGTTATGTATTATTGGGTTTGCTCAGAAAAACTTTTGCTACTTGATTTGCCAGCCTTGTTGACGGGTCCGTTGCCAAGATATGCTGCATGGGGCACCTGTTGAAGCGGAAAACGTAAGAATGTCATGTCCAACCAATCTTATCCTTCATCATATTTGTCATCCTTCTCAAAAACCATGAGACAATGATTGTCCAATACCATCCAAGAGAACATAAAGTGTCTCAACAAATAACTACACCCCCACTACATTTGCATTAAACCATGATCCCTCTCAACAATCCCATGATATTCCCATCGATATTTCCTATTCTATTACATCTCCATCACATCTCCATGATATTCCCATGTACTCCTAAACGGGTAAACGTTTACACGATGGGCAAAACCCATGGTTTCCCATGCGGAAAATGATCTACGTCCGTAGAAGGTTTTCCACATCTATGTTCGTTTACAAGAAGGTAAGTCCAATGGGATGTGAATGGAATTCAACCATCAATTATGGAGATTTCACCTTCCTATAAACCTCCAAGTACCTAGAAAATCCTAGAAAAACTTGGGTAACATAAAAAAAATGATGGGTACTTGGATGATTTAAGTCGATCTGGGATTATGATCACCCCATGATCCGATATTTTCCCATGGTCGTCCCCAGGTTCGGTATCTGCTACCGCGCCTGCAGCGCCTACAGCCGGAAGAAGCCGCCGCCGAAGAATCCACGGACCATCCCTATGACCTGGTCGGGGTCGTCGGACGCCGAAAGCTGGTGAAACCTATGGGTCTCCCCGGGAAAACCTTGGATTTTGGTGGGAAAACCTAGGGTTTCCCTGGGAAAACCGGGAAAAACGATGATTTTCCCTGGAAAACCTACAGTTGATGTGAAAAACTATGAAAAACCGATGATTTCCCTAGGTTCAAGTAACAGAGATAAGCCAAACCTTTGGGGAAAGCCATTCAAAAAATAATCTACGTTCATGGTTGATTTGTCCACATCTATGTAAACGCTTACCCTAAGGGTAAAGGATGGCTGATGGTTGGTGATGGTGAAATTTGGGCATAACTGCATATCTGGAGGAAATATTGGTATATCCAGTGCGCTAGATTCTTGCACTCCTTTGCGTATTTAAGTTGAGTGGTGTGAAATATAATTATTAATTAATAGGTATGTCACAAGGACTTCACGATTGAATGGGTTTAGTTCAACTGAGAATTTGGATAAGTTTGCACCGAGAATGCATGAACTCGGTGGGATGGGGATGAATTGAAGCTGGGAATGCTGAGTTTCGCCGGAACGGGGACGAAACGTGCGGGTCAGCTGGAAAGCCCAATAGCATGGGCAGTTTGGAAATTTTGATTTTTAAGGGTGCCATCTCAACATGGTTGTTCTTTTTTTATTATTGATATTGCTATTATCATTACTGTCATGATCTTTTTCAAGTAGTTTTTGGCTTTTAGACCGGTGAGTGGTGCACTGTAAATGTCAGGAACAACGTGGTGCCCTTGTGGCTACTGAACTGGAGGGTCGCGGGCTTAGATGCTCCCCGCTTCAGATTACTTTTCTGGGAGAATTGGCGGGGGATGATGATGATGATGATGATGGTGATGATGATGATGATGAAGAACTTGGACTCGAACTTAGGTTCTGAATTTGAGTTGGTCCATCCCGAAAAGATGCATCAAGCTGACCAGACACTCCTTGCCGTCGATGCTGAAGTCGCGGTATACCCCCCAGATACTATATAAATTGCTGGCAAGCGCGACCCACTTGAACTGATCTTCGGCTTCTATGCAGCTTGCATTCCATAGCTACAGCGCACTTGGCGCACTGCTTGGCACAGCCGTTCCTGCTGCGCTGAGGAATCCTTGAAATGGGCCAAGTTTAAGAAAGCACAGCGTGAGGAAGAGATGCTCGTCATTGCTTGCATCGGTGTCAAACATGGCCGGATGGCAAATGGCCTATAGATGGATGTTTTTAATGGGAAAGTCATCTATAAATGGCTTGAACTCACCGACTCACCGATTGGCGTTTCTTTTACGCATATCTTTGTGTTCAATACCCAGAAACAGGGCGATGATCCTCAGTGGTTTGATGTTTTGTCACATGCTTAGGCTACATTACCATACTAAACAAAGTAGCTCGCAACAAACAGGTGGTAACAAACCTATTTTCGTGACGGTTGCAACGTCCTTACTTGCTGTTGCCATGTTGTTTCAACATTTTGTTGACCATCCATATAACGGTTGGTTGCGTGCCGACTACCAAATCTACCAATTTCTATGTTCATGTAGGCGGCGATGTGAAGGCAATATTCGACATAAGACTGGTTGATTTGATAGCGTGGGATTTCTATTTTAGCAACAAAGTGTTCTTTTTTGGAGGATCGTAAACAACAAACAAACAAGTCATTTTGAGCCTCAGATGCTCATTGGCCAAACATCTTTTTAGCTGGGGCCGAGGAAGAAAGAGCGGCTGGCACAACGTGCAGCACAAGCGTGAGATCCAGTTTCTTGGATTTCTGGCCGGTGCCCAAAGATGAAATATCAATGAGATCGCCTGCAAGTGTTGGATGGATATTTATGGATATAGATACATGTCACATGTATATATATATATATTTACATTATATATATATATGAATAATGATGAGTACTTATATATATATATATATATTCAAAAGAGTGCGACGAGTTTTGAAGAAGCAATACAAGCAATCTATAATTTTGCAGTCTATGATTTTGTTATATCTTGTTTGAACAAGAGTCTCCGGCGCAAGCTGGACCTTCGATTTTCAGCAGCTGGGGAAATGCAGCATGGCAGGAAAATCCCTGGATTCACAAGGGCCCCGCAGTTATGTTGGTTTTGTTCCATCAATAATTACTAAAGTCATCCCCCAACATCCATAAAACCCAGTCAACCATAGTTAATCATAGTTAATCATAGTTATCCATAGTTAACCAAGATTAACCAGATTATAGACCAACTTCGCCCATCCCAGCTGCACACCTGCCCCAGCAATTTTCGGAGCGATGCCACCGTCGAAAACCAGATGCGAAAACGTCTCGGTGATGGACAGGGCTATAAGATGCTCTTAGTATGATATGTCTGAAGAAGGATAATCTAATATAAAGATACAGTTACCTTGATATTAGTGTGAGATTTTCTATATCAGTATAATATTAGTATTGCTGTTTGTTTCTAGAAGGATAATCCAATTAGTGGCAGGACTGGAAGGTAGATCCCAGTGGTGTGAAAAATCATCCTGAATGGACCCCATCTCAGTGCCAGCTTCCTTTTGGCAATGGAAATTGCTCTTTTAAACCATAAACTGTTTATATACTGTTTATATGCTCATGATTGTTCATGTCTCACCAAGTGTCCTATGGGAATTATTGGGGTTAGCACTTCATGCACCTGGTTTCTCACCCTGCGGCACCCATGGATCTGGAGGCAATCCACATGGTGCCACTGCACCTTTGGGCTCAGATTTTGACACAACTTGGGCCGCAAAAAAAAGAAACATAGCCAGAGCGCGGCTCCAACATGGCGAGCTAATGCTGGGTGTATATATATATATATATTTACAATCTATATATATATATGTATATATAGGTCCGGTGGTTCATGGTGGTTCCCTGCCATCGGCCCTAAGTGATGGTCAGAAAAGTCCTAATTACATGGAAGGTGGAAATATACCCAACTCAAGCTCTACTGTAGATTGCCTAGAGTATACTTCCGGCCAGCTTTGAAAGATGAATGCAACGTTGCTCTTTGCTTGTCACACTTCATCATCATCCATCATCATCATCACCACCAGCATCACCATCATCATCATCATCAACAACAACACGATAGTATATGATGACACTGCGTTACTATTTTATAAGTTTTTGACGGTAGCCATTGGGAAAGCATAAACTTTTACTTATGATTAAAGCATTTGCAACCATTTATTATTTTACACACCTACATTTGAGAACAAGAGGAAAAATTAGCCAGATATATCCATGATATACCATGACAAAATGATAATAGTAACCATCATCATCACAACCACTGCAGCCATCCTAACTTAAATAGTTTTGAGACCTGTCATGGAGCTGATGGCAACTGCCGGCCATGTCGCTGGAACATCCCGGAGGCATGCTTTCAGCTACTAAAATGACCTCATAGTCAACCCAAAAAATGATAGAAACGTAAATCCCTACTCACTTGATGCACATTGATTTTCTGCCTTTCTGGGGGTGAGCAGAATTGCCTTCAGGTAATTCAGATATTGAAACCCAATGGTTTCCAACGGAAATCGATCTACAAATGGCTATGTTGATTCACCGGAGGCTACATTTACCTTTGTCATATTTATATATCTATCTATCTATGATTGTTATGGTATGTTCGATATGTCATACCTAACAATTGTTTTATTGTAATTGATTTGTTATCTATCTATACCTTTTTGTCAAATGTATACATCTTTTTATATATATATATATACATGATATGTTTGAAACCTGCATCGAGTTATGGTGAGCTCAATGACTTGTCTCTTTGCTGTCCGCTGGCGCACAGGTCATGAGCTTCAGCTGGGCAGAGGCCGCCAAGGTGTGGTTTCAGCCGGGCGTTTGGGGGTGTGATTATAGCAAAGTTGTTGGGAACATCCTGGTATGACTATAGTACTATGCTTATGAAAAACTTGCAGCCACAGACTGGGCCAGGTCAAAATATTTTTCTCATTTTTTATCATTTTGGTTATCATTGCATTCATCATTTTTTTGATCATTTACTTTATCATCTTCATTTTTTTATCATTTCAGGTATCATTTTTTTAAATCATTTTTTATCATTTTTTTAATCATTTTTTGAACATGTTTTTATCATTTTTATCATGTTTCATCATTTTTTCTTTCCAGTAGTGCAAAAATTTTCCAAAAAATGGAAAATTACAATTTTCCTCGAGTTTTTTCATTGTTTTATCATTTTTTTCATGTTTTTCATTTTTCATTTTTTTTATCATTTTTCATCATTTTGCATCAATTCCACCACTGGAAGCAAAAATGATTAAAAAAAAAATGATAAAAAAATGAAAAAAAAATGAAAAAAACTCGAGGAAAATTGCAATTTCTCATTTTTTGGAAACTTGCAATTTTCCTCGTTGTTTTTTCATTTTTTCATTTTTTTATCATTTTTTTATCATTTTTCATCATTTTTTTATCATTTTTCATCAATTCCACCACTGGAAGCAAAAATGATTTAAAAAAAAATATAAAAAAAATGAAAAAAACTCGAGGACAATTGTATTTTTTCATTTTTTGGAAAATTTTTGCTCCACTGGAAGAAAAAATGATTAAAAAAAATGATTAAAAAAATGATAAATGATTAAAAAATGATTAAAAAAATGATAAAAAATGATACCTGAAATGATTAAAAAATGAAGATGATAAAATAAATGATAAAAAAATGATGAATGCAATGATAACCAAAATGATAAAAAAATGAGAAAAAATATTTTAAAGATTTCCAATGTGTAGCTGGCTCGGTTCTTCATAATACTATGCCAATAACTTTGGACTGATTATGAGAATATCATGGTAACATTATGACCTTCAAACTTACTGTAGGAATCATTTCCAGCATGTTACCATAACATCACCATTATCATTCCAAAGTTGCTGGGAATATCATGGGATGATCAGACCGATCCAGGGGATGTCCTGGCGTTGCCATGCCATGATTCTTCCATTGCTTTAGGCCTTCAAAAACGGCTCACCAGCAGAATGCAACGATTTCTACAATTTCTACAGATCGTAAGTGATAAGTCATAGACATTCAGTTAATCTAGCGTTCACATGGGGGCAAGCATCAAAGGGATGACTTAGGGATGACTTCTTGAAAACAGCGTTGACAATGGGGAAACCCCAAAAGGGACCCGTTTGATTCAGGATTTGGAACCATCCACTGTGTGAGTTCAATCATTTGATATAACATTTGTCCATTTGGTAAAAGAATTGACCAGCAACGCGTCTGATAATAAAGATTTTATAAGCCACGATTGGATTAAAATCGGAGATGATTAGCTAAAACTGGATATGCCTCATCGATTGATCCGAATATCCCCCCACAATCATGATGGTATCAAACGACGTAAGGGCCCAACAGCCAACAAGGTTAAGTAATTGCGATCAAGAAACTGGGAATGTCATTTCGCCTCATTAGCTGTTGTTGGGGAGGGCTTTCCCGCCCAAGGCAGGGCTAGGCAGTTAGGCCACCAACGGATAGCGGGAGAGGCATGGAAAGCCAACTCTGTAGATTGGCAACCAGTTGCTTGGCCTAAAGTTGGGGTGGGGAGGGATCACCCATTTCGGGAAACCTCCACGTATCAAATGAAAAATCAAATAGAAACATGAACTGTGGATATGTGGAATGTACCGGGTTACCCTCTGGAAATCTGTTTTTTTACATGGAAATTACCGGTTATCACACATCAATCATTCTAAAATCATCCTGAAATGGTTCATTTGTCACACACCAATGATCAAAAGGATACACAGCAGTCATTCTAAGACACTAGTCAAACATCCCATGGTAATTTATTGTAATCTCAAAAGCATCCCCAAAATCGAATCTAAACTCAAATCATTGGTAATTGTTGTTCATTCTCATACTATGATAATACTGGTTGGTGGTTTGGAACATCTTTTATTTTCCATTATATATGGGATAATCCTTCCCATTGACTATGATATTTTTCAGAGGGGTTGAAACCACCAACCAGATAATATGTCATCATATATAGCCTCAGGTTGAAAGAATTGAAAATCATCCCCGAACCTATCGTCGACCGAGGCTCAGAAGATCTTGGACCCTGAGTGTTTTACGACACTGCCTGAGGTGCGGATGTCGAGTGGTATGATGGGATAGCAAAAACCGACACAATTTGGATCGAAAGATGGGAAAACATAGGAAAAAACACTTGGCGCAATGGGTAGAACTACTCAACCAGGAAGATTTTGGAATTTGCACAGCTTAAAATAAATAAGAATAATAAAAATTAGGCTAGCTTGGGATATGAGCAGCAAACCTGGAGTTTTTAACGTTTAGGTGACATAGCATTGTGTCTTTGCATGTTTTTAGTGGCTACCAAGGCTGATATTTAGCAAGAGGCTTTTCTGGGACGACTGCTGGAAATCCCATCATTCAGTTCGATGATTTTCCCAGCATGAAAAGCATCATTTACCCTCTGGTAATTTAATATGGCTATTGAAACTAACCCATGTATAGTTGGTTTACCTTTTCAAGACTGTCATTTTCTATGGCTATGTGAGTTTACCAGAGGGTCTAGGGGATTTTGTCCGGGGATTTCCCAGCTTGCCATGTTTAATGACACCAGAGTGTACAGTATGTCTTGAGATCAACTGATCGACTCATCGGGTTGTTCTTTGAAAATTGGGGAAAACCCAAAGCCCACCGACCCCACTGTTTGTTATTGTTACTTTCTGAACAAATGCAAAGCCATGTTCCTTTTTTTCATCAATTACAATCCTACGGTGTTGAGTTCTTAAAGCTAAGGATCGAATGTTTGCTGATACTCCCCCATGTTTCTTGAGTCCAAATATGTCAAATACTATCACAAACCCAGGGATTTTCTATCCATATATTGTTGGCGATTGTTGGTCACAATCTATATCCGATATCCCCATGACATCCTCATCAAATTCTTTGTTTCATAACACCAGCAACACCATTGTACTAAAAACAAATAATGTGTATATATTATATATATATATGTTTAAAAAAAAAATATAACACCACCACACGCTGTGGTGTTCTGCAAATTTATGGTGAGGCACGAGAGCTGGGACTGCAGGAGCTCGGGGATGGGGCTATGGCAATGGGGTTTTTGTGCCATGGTCGAAAGTTGGATTCTGGAGCCATATTGGGGGATGGTCATCAATCCGTTAATATCCATTAATAGGGGTTAATAGGGATTTAGTTGGATTCTCGATATATGGAAGAACATATTTAACCATGGCACATCTGGCACATATGTTACTTGTTTTTGAATTGGAAAGAAGAGGGTTGGATATCATCAACTGGATGGGGATGATCATGATCATATGCTATATTTCCAAAGGATTATTTTTGCTGGATCTTATGATTGTGATGTATCCAGTATGTTCATTGTTATTGGATTGAATAGGAAATATGAAATTTCATTAGTCAGTCCAAGAGATTTTGGAACCCAGACATATCCAAACGATGCGAAATGTTTCAAGATTTGCAAGGACCTGAAATGCGGCAAGCATTGCCAAGTTCCATACTCTGTGGTAATCAAACATGGTTTGATGGAGCATTTCCCAGAGAAGGAAACTTACATGTAGTTCGTTGATCCCAGCCAGCCATGTTTGATGACACCAGAGGGTATAATCCCATCAGATCTCAAGTATTCTCCCAAATTATGATATTCAAGTATTCTCCGGCTATTGAAAATTGCCATTTACAGTGGATTTACCCATTAAACATGGGAGTATACCTATAAATCTCTATAAATCCGATATCATTTACCCAACGTTGCCAATGCAAGCCCATTGAGTCATTCGGATCAGGAGTTGCTGGAATACGTGGCACCCTACTTTGAGGCCGAGAGTGTTTTTGTTTGTGATTTGGTTGGAATCAGTTGGTTAAATGATGTTACCCTCTGGTTATTTAACATAGCCATGGAAAATCCCTTATAAATGGAGGTTTCAATGGGAAAATCATCTATAAATGGACCATTTTCCATGGCCATGTTAAATAACCAGAGGGTAAATGTTTAGTTTATAAAAATTGCTCAGTCGGCAGGTATGATGATAATGAGTTGCTGTCATGGCTGAACTGGATTGGCCATGGAAATTCAGGTTTTATAACCAAGTAAAATATGGGGACATAGGCGTAGATGCATCAAACACTATGTTTGGGTTTGTCTCAAAACAGGAGGTTTCCTCCAATGTATGGCAGTTTGCTCCAAATACCTTCCAGTAAGCCAACATAGCTATGGAAATCGATTGGTTTTCCCGGGAAATCATCGAACTAAATGCGCCATTCTTGTTAGTTATGCCAAATTACTAAAGGTGTTTAATATCATACCAGTACTTTATTCCTTTGTTCACATTCTTATTGGTTAAATCACCATGAAGCACCATGAAATTTCAATGAAACCCCATTAAATCTTATTCAATAAATTCTGACCCCATTAAATTCCCAGTAAATCCCATTAAATCTCATTAAAAACCCATGAAATTCCCATTCGTTTCTGCCTGGCCATGGCCATGTGCAGGCATCCTTTGAATCCAATCAAGCTGCAGTGGGGCGACCCAGGTCAGGTCACAAGTGCTGGATCAAGCGCGCCCCGAGAAAAGATGAACGTGTTTAACATCCAACAAAAATGCATTAAAATATATTAAAATATATTAAAATATATATTAAAATACTGTAGTGATTCTAGTGGTTAATGAGGACACCTGACACACACACACACATTTAAAATCATGTAAAAATTATAAAATGCAACCTTTGACATGCGTCCCATCCACAATGGGCTGCTAAAGAACCATCATCGAAATTTCTGCCCAATTTCCGGGTGGCAACGGGTGATATCTGCTCGTCTCGCCCCTCAGTAATGAGGCGAACCTAGTCTGCGATGGAGAGATAGAGAGATAGAGAGAGTGGTAGTGGTTAATGAGGATTAATGGTGGTTATACAATGAGGATTAGTGAAGATTCATACATTTTCTTGTTGAAGGTTACTACAGCACTTACAACTGTTTCTTTTGTTGTCTTAGATATTGGTAACTAGTGGTCCCTATGAAACCCTGATAATGGAATAATGGGACAAATCATTGAGGATGGCTAGCGAACCACGGCTCATTTTACAGGCATCACACTGTGATGAAAGCAGGTGGGCCACCTCCATGTGTTTTTACAACCAATGGGATCACAAAATTTTACAATGCGAATATCATGACATAGAATCAGTGAATATTAATGGAATCAGAATCAGCCCAAGAAAATTTGGATTCTGTCAATGGAGGTACCAGTCACCCGAGTCACCGGTGTCCCTGAGTGGTTTCCGATTTTTTTTCCGCTGAGGCAGAACAGGCTGAGGAGTTGTATTTCACATACCTCTTTAACGTGTCCTCTGCGGACCGCGAGGCCGGGGACGCCTTCCAGAAGTGTTTGATCACGCACAGCCCATGAACGTCAGCAATAGCCTCTGGTAATCAAGTATGGCTTGCTGGAAAATCTAGGAAAATCATGGAAAATCTCCTATTTATGGATTATTGTGTCATTTAAATTGCGAGTTTCAGGACTACCTGGCCACGTTCGATCACCGGCGGGTAGCGGGATAAGAACGGGGATATGAGACAATTAAGAAATGAGGATACTGCAATTGGAGGATTTCACCAGGGAGGACATGAAGGTGGAGGTGGAGAACGAACTTGCAACCTTTATTGGGCTGCTTGATGTAGACAGATCGCAGTGGCCGTCCAAAGAGTTTGAACTAGACGACGGATGGCCCGAGAGCGTGAAGGAGCAAGGTCTTCTCCTGTTAGTATGGAGACACCATATTGCAAAACAATATATTAAAGATGTGTTATAGGCAGTCGAGAACAGGAGTATCAAGACAATATAGCACAAGTACAAGACAATAGTTTGCATCGCAAACACTTTTACACACAGAAGCTTTTACACACAGACGCTTTTACACACAAAAGCTTTTACACAAAGACGCTTTTACACACAGAAGCTTTTACACACAGACGCTTTTACACACAAAAGCTTTTACACACAGAAGCTTTTACACACAGAAGCTTTTACACACAGACGCTTTTACACGCAGACGCTTCCACACACAGGCACTTTTACACACAGACACTTTTACACACAGGCGCTTTTACACACAGACAGTTTTACACACAGACGCTGTTACACACAGCCGCTTTTACACACAGAAGATTTTACACAACAGACTCTTTTACACACTGACGGCTTTACACACAGAGGCTTTTACACACAGACGCTTTTACACACAGACACTTTTACACAAACACTTTGACACACAGGCGCTTTTACACACTAACACTTTTACACACAGACGCTTGTACACACAGACACTTTTACACACAGACGCTTTTACGCACAGACGCGTTTACACACAGAGGCTTTTACACACAGACGTTTCTACACACAGACACTTTTACACACAAACACTTTGACACACAGACGCTTTTACACACAGACGCTTTTACACAAAGATGCTTTTACACACAGACGCCTTTACACACAGAAGCTTTTACACACAGACCCTTTTACACACAGACGCTTTTACACACAGACTCTTTTACACACAGACGCTTTTACACACAAACGCTTTTACACATAGACGCGTTTACATACAAACGCTTTTACACAGACGCTTTTACACACAAACACTTTTACACACAGACGCTTTTACACACAGACGCTTTTACACACAGAAGCTTTTACACACAGAAGATTTTACACAACAGACTCTTTTACACACTGACGGCTTTACACACAGACGAAATTACACACAGAGGCTTTTACACACAGAAGATTTTACACACAGACGCTTTTACACACAGACGCTTTTACACACAGAAGATTGTACACACAGAAGCTTTTACACACAGAGGCTTTTACACATAGAAGCTTTTACACAACAGACTCTTTTACACACAGACGAAATTACACACAGAGGCTTTTACACACAGAAGATTTTACACACAGAAGCTTTTACACACAGAGGCTTCTACACACAGAAGATTGTACACACAGAAGCTTTTACACACAGAGGCTTTTACACACAGAAGCTTTTACACAACAGACTCTTTTACACACTGACGGCTTTACGCACAGACGCTTTTACACACAGAGGCTTTTACACACAGAAGATTTTACACATAGAAGCTTTTACACACAGAGGCTTTTACACACAGAAGATTGTACACACAGAAGCTTTTACACACACGCTTTTTACACAAACGCTTTTACACACAAAAGCTTTCACACACAGACACCTTTACACACAGAAACTTTTACACACAGACGCTTTGACACACAGACACTTTGACACAGAGCACACAGAAGCTTTTAAGCAGACGCTTTTACACAAACGCTTTTACACAGATGCTTTTACACACAGAAGCTTTCACACACAGCACACAGAAGCTTTGTACACACAGAAAAAATCGCAATTTTACCTCAGTTTTTGGCGATCGACCCTCATTTCGTGCGAAAGGGTTGCGCGGGACGACTTGAACTCGCACTTTTACTTCAGTTTTTGGCGATCGAACCTCATTTCGTGCGAAAGGGTTGCGCGGGACGACTTGAACGCGCACTTTTACCTCAGTTTTTGGCGATCGAACCTCATTTCGTGCGAAAAGGTTGCGCGGGACGACTTGAAATCGCAATTTTACTTCAGTTTGTGACGATCGAACCTCGTTTTGTGCGAAAGTGTTGCGCGGGACGACTTGAACTCGCACTTTTACCGCAGTTTGTGACGATCGAACCTCGTTTTGTGCGAAAGGGTTGCGCGGGACGACTTGAACTCGCACTTTTGCCTGAGTTTTTGGCGATCGAACCTCATTTCGTGCGAAAGGGTTGCGCGGGACCGGTGGAAATCGCAATTTTACCGCAGTTTTTGGCGATCGAACCTCATTTTGTGCGAAAGGGTTGCGTCTCGTTGGCACTGCCCCTGCTCCCGCCTTCAAGAGAGAAATAGAAAAGAAGGAGAGGGCAAGGGGGCAAGAGGGCAAGAGGAGAAGATGTGAGATGAGAAGATGTGAAGATGAGAAGATGTGAGAAGATGGGAGAAGATGTGAGAAGATGTGAGAAGATGTGAGAAGATGTGAAGATGAGAAGGTGTGAAGATGAGAAGATGGGAGAAGATGTGAGAAGATGTGAGAAGATGTGAGAAGATGTGAAGATGAGAAGGTGTGGAGATGAGAAGATGTGAGAAGATGTGAGAAGATGTGAGAAGATGTGAGAAGATGTGAAGATGAGAAGATGTGAAGAAGAGAAGATGTGAGAAGATGTGAAGATGAGAAGGTGTGAAGATGAGAAGATGTGAGAAGATGTGAGAAGATGTGAAGATGAGAAGATGAGGAGAAGATGGGAAGATGAGGAGAAGATGAGAAGATGCGGAGAAGATGTGAGGATGAGAAGATGTGAAGATGAGAAGATGTGAAGATGAGAAGATGTGAAGATGAGAAGATGTGAAGATGAGAAGAAGATGAGAAGATGTGAGAAGATGGGAGAAGATGTGAGAAGATGTGAGAAGATGTGAGAAGATGTGAAGATGAGAAGGTGTGAAGATGAGAAGATGGGAGAAGATGTGAAGATGAGAAGGTGTTTTACAGACCCCCACTATTGGAAGAACCCTGCGCTCAGACGCTCTCGGGAAAAAGATATTCATCCCATCCCCTCAAGGACAAAGACTACTGCTTGTGGGGTCCAAAATGAACAGAACTGAGCCGATCCTCTGCTCCGTCGAGGGATTAGTCACAAATTTCAACCGTTTGTCTGTCTGTGTCCAAAGCTCATTAGAGTTTCAGATGAACATGGATGCATTTTGCATGCTGGCGGCTGCCAGCACAAGCTGGCAGAAGTTGCGGGTTTCCACTTGCAAACCCCGCACGGGCGTCGCAAGGCTGTCTTCTTGAAAGCCTGCCACAGTCTCAGGCTTATGCACGTTGCAAGCTGGGCCATCAGCATATTGACAATTCATTTTAATTCAAGGAAAATGGGGATGGGGATGGAGAGCATCTATGCCCACGTCGTTAGATACGCATACATGTACCAACATGTACCATCATGTACCATCATGTACCATCATGTACCATCATGTACCCTAAAACATTCCTCCAAGATCCCATTTGTTGAGTTGTTCAATTGTTGATTTCACATATGTTCAATGTTTGTGGCAAGAAACACGGAAACACGTATGGCTCAAGTCATTTAATGGGATGGGAAGGCAACGTCCGTTTGGGCCTGCAGTTTGCCCAAAAAAGGGTGGCACCCTATGATTACCATATGAATGAGACATGTGACAAGTGGAGACAAATGATTTGACAAATGACACATGAATATGATTGTAGAATACCATACAGAATCCGTTGGAATTGCTCGTAATTATTAATTTTGCCCTTTCAGACAAACCACGGTTGGATTGATTAATTAGTCTGATTGAACTATATTGTATTGTTAACCACCCCTGATTTTCGATCGTTAATCTCACCATGTTATCTTCCATTCTTGGTGCCCATGTACCCGCACTTACTTACACGAATTTAATCATAATTTTCCACAATGCTTCCCAATGTTTCAATAAATTTGCCATCTATAGTAAGCCCCAAAACAGGGAACTGTAATTCATCACATTTTTGGGTCGGATTTCACAAGCTTCCATTTTTTGGGGTATCACCATTCATACATGTTCATTTACCTTCATTAGACCATCATTATACCATATTATACGATCATTATTGTTATACCATAGTCTTACCATGGTTATCCCATCATTTTCTCATCATTTTCTCATCCATTTTCCCATCGTTCCATATTTCTGTTTCAACTTGCAAACAGCTGTTGCTGAGGCAAGTTCGCCTTGGAAACTGGATCTGCCTCAGAGCAGCCTCTATTGGCCGACACCGTCTGCAAGGCCGAGCGAGTCATTGGGAGTCACTGGGGGGGTTACGGGCGGTTGGGATTATTGATGGGTAAAACTATGGTTATTCTAAGCCCCGTATAGGTTGGGAATGGTTGGGATAAAATTATATATAACATTATATAACCCCTGTAATTTGCTATGATTATTGAACCACCTCCTGGAACTGTTGGGGAAGGTAAGAAACATGGATGGTGGCAATTTGATTTTGAAAAATAGGAGTTTAAACATGCATGTTGAGCATGTTTAAGTAACAGATGATAACCAATTGGCACCAACTGGATGTGTACTCTTACGTGCTAATCTCTTGCTTCGCATGGGGCATATAGAAACCAAATAATACATGCTTTTCAGCCCGGCATCTAAGATGATCCACATTTACCGGATCGTAAGTAGTTTGTTTGGTTTCCACTTGCCACCCTTACAATGGCGATCTGAATGTACTTGGATGTGTGTCCCATGTACTCTGTGTGTGTAAAAACTGATGCATGGATATGCGCGGAATATCACCAGTTTTTACATGGGCTACTGTATGTATTAGCAACCTTCTATCAGAGATGCACATCGATAAAAGATGATGGTACGAGTTTGCCACAACCACTCCTCAACATTGTAGACCGGAAGGGTGATGCTGAAGGTGACATGTGTTTATGATGATATTGGATGATTTGTGTTGATGATGCATTATGTGGTTCCCTTTGCGAGGGGTATCATCGGTAACCAGCATATTTATTATTGACAAAATTGGTAAATCCCGGTTGACATCTCCGCAATACTTCATCCCAGTAGGTGCTGCTGGATGTGCCTGTCATGAGCGCTGGGGCGTTGGGCTATACGTTCTACCTGCAAAGCCACTGCGATGCTGCTTCTGAGCTGAACCGCCTGCTCCAGGGCAGTCTCATGGTGATGGTGGCGCGGGCTGTGTTAATGTTATGGGCACGGGCAACGCCCATCCGAACAAATTCTTCTGCACCCTGAAGCAGGAGATTGGCTCCCACCACGTAGCGGTCTTGGAGCGATTCATCGTGACGAGTAGCAGGGCTGTTAAGCCTCACACTCCACGTCCGAGAAGGTTTTGTACGTTTCAGATGGTGCTGGAGATGCTGAAGTCAGAATGCTTACGGTATGAGTTCGCAAAGCTAGCAATGAGCCAAGCTCAACGGGCGAAGCCATGTTCATCGGTTTGTGTTGCTGATCTGACGCAGTAAGGAATATAGATTCATGGGACATTTCCCGCTAAATGACATGGACACAAGGCCCAGCTGTGGGGAGACTGGCCACGAGTAGCCGTCAGGTTCAACCTATGCAGTTGTTTACCATTTTCAAGGATTTGCAGTGCAGAATGTGACCTGCCCTTTTCAAACTCAACTGCAGGGATCCCTAGCATGACCAAATTGGTCATAGTTTGTAAATGAGCATCGGCCCTCCATTGATTTAATATCAATATAGCTATGGAAAATTGCCCGTTCACAGGTGATTTACCTATCAAAAATTGTGATTTCCCATAGCTATGTTAAACTACCAGAGGATATCAGAGGGTAACCCGGCTTTCCCCAATTCACAATGCCACATTTGCATGTGACTTGGAACGATTTGTTTGGGTCTTGGGGATATATCCCGCTTGATCAGGCTGGCTCCAACCCATTAAAGGTGAATCCTGGCCGCTGGGGTAACTCGCATCCATTATCATCCATCCATGGTTGGTTGTACTTGGAATTTACCTGGATTTTACCGTGATTTGACCATGAAGTCATGAAGATTACGGTTGCCCAAAAATATCCCGATGGGGATTGTGGATTTTTCCATGTGTCAAGCCATCCATGTCAACCCATCCCAAACCTCCGGATCCTGCAAAAGGCCTTTCTGTCCGTGACACTTCCGAGGCGGGTGTTACATGATTGACAGAAGGGGTAAAAAATAAGCTATCATTGGGACTTTCAAGAGCCTAAAATCGAGGTACTATACCATATAAAAGCCATATAAAAGGGGGGCATATCCCATTCAGTCTTCCAATTTAGATTCCTGAAATGGCCACTGACAATTGTCATCCAATCCAAAGTTCATTCTTTTCAGTTTGGTTTTTCAAGCTTGAAGACTCGTCGGTCATTCAGAAGCGTTTACCACCTTATTCTTTCTGCCTGTTCAAGAGTTGGGATGCAACGCCCACGGTCCTGTAGAAGATCATTTGTGAGGACTGGTATTTATGAACAGGGAGTTTTTTAAAACACGTGATGGTAACTGTTACCTTCCATTTTCAGATGTTAACAAGTGCTAACCAGCATGAAGAAATGCTAACCAGAAAGATAAATGGTAACTGAGACTGCTTACAAATTTGACGGGACAACGGAAAATCCTGATACGCAGGAGGTGAACCGTATCCAATCTCTGGTAGTCTCCAGTGTGGCATGGCATTCAGTTGGCGGAAAGGCTCCTGGATCTTTGTGACGCCCGCTTTGAGGCTGCGGCTGGGATGATTTTTTGGAGCTTAAGTGGGATGAGTTCGATGACAGGATGGTGGTTTCAAAGTTTCATTTTTGTTCCCCACTGCCAGGTGAGGGTTGTAAGATTTTATCAGAGTTGTTCTTCTCCTCCTTCCTCCTCCTCCTTCCTCCTCCTCCTTCCTCCTCCTCCGCGTCCTCCTCCCCTTCTACCACCTCTGCCTCCACTTCCACGTCCACTGTTGCCTTGCCAACTCTTGGCCAAGCTCTTCGCCAACTTCGGAGCTCAGTGCGCACTGCTGGACCTCAACCTGGGACCTTCCCAGCTCAGTGCGCACCGCTGGACCTCAACCTGGGACCTTCCTAGCTCAGTGCGCACCGCTGGACCTCAACCTGGGACCTGCCGAGCTCAGCGCGCACCGCTGGACCTCAACCTCTCAGCACGCAGCGCTGGACCTCAAAAGCCAGATAGAATGCCAGAAGATATGCCAGAAGATATGCCAGATAGAACGCCAGATAGAATGTCAGATAGAATGCCAGAAGATTTGCCAGATAGAATGCCAGATAGGATGTCAGATAGGATGCCGAAGATATGCCAGATAGAATGCCAGAAGATTTGCCAGATAGATAGAATGCCAGAAGATATGCCAGAACATGTGCCAGAAGATATGCCAGATAGAATGCCCGAAGGTATGCCAGATAGAATGCCAGAAGGTATGCCAGATAAAGTGCCAGAATGTTTGCCAGATAGAATGCCAGAAGATTTGCCAGATAGGATGTCAGAAGATATGCCAGAAGATATGCCAGATCGAATGCCAGAAGATGTGTCAGATAGAATGCGAGAAGATTTGCCAGTAACAAAATGTATAAATGTCATGGTGGGGATCACACGAAGTAAAGTAATTTTTCTACCTTGGAGATGATGAGCCCAATTACTTCCAGATGTTCGTGATGGGTTGAAACCACCAAGCAGATGAGTAGTGCGGCAATATGCTGAGTCCTGTGGCGACTTGGCAGGCTGAATGGTGATTCCACATGGCAGCAGCCTGCACATGTATATGTATATATATATATATTATATCCAGATTTTGGTGGGGAACCATGGGAAAATAGGAGAACAAAGTTCATAGATTATCCTTTTCCCACTGGTTGATGGCAAGTGAGGGTGCTTTCCGCATTTTCACAACCAACGTATAGGTAAACAATTTGAAATGGCACACCAATAAGCTGCCCTAGAACATTATTACCAATGCATTGGTGTAAGGGAAAATCTTAGCCGGAAGTTTTTTCCCATGACATGTAGGGGGTTCCTCTGGTTGTTTTCCCTGAAGCCAATCCAACGATTATTGGGTTTGAAAGGATATCTTGACTTGGGTACAATGTGAGTATATGGCGTAATCATGGGATAATAGTCACTACTCATGGGCTTACCAATCCAATGATTTTGCCATATCCCATGAAATATCCCAAGATATTCCCATTTGTTGGTCGAATATGGTTAAATCCCATTAAATCCCGTCTAATATCGCTACTAGATGTCTCACATTTGTGGCACCCCCCCTTCCTGTGCAGAATGACTATGACGCAGTGCTGGTGACCTACCATGACAACGGTGCGCGGCGAAGCGGGCTTCGTAGTTGGCCGGTTGTTTGGGGTTACCATGGGGTACCAAGTTTTTGTTCAGCTTTTCCAGCTGTAGAAAGGCACCACTACAGATAAGATCAAATAAGAAGACAAGAAGAATAGAAGAACAACATATCGGTTGTTGTCTTCTTTTCTGGCATCACGACTTGATGTCAAGATATCATCAGTTACGATTGGCCATGACCTCGATGCACGTCTCCAGGTCTTTTCGCCAATGTTTTGCAGCTCCTGGATGTTTGGGGGGCCCAGGATGATCAGCCGCTTTACCAAGCCCCCTTGGTTAAAGTATAGGTCCTGAAAATGGGCGGGGGTGTATTCTATTTCCAGGCAAACCCAGAATGTTGTAATAGTGAAACCATCCCAAATATTACCACAAATGGGTGGTATAAACCATGAAAATATGGTTAGTTTATTTTTGCGTTACTAATTTCCTAACATTATATATATATGTCTTTCTTGCAGCATGCAACCCTTTGCACATGTTCACTGAGTCATTCTCGATTGATTCTGGGCAAATTTTATGATGTCACCATAAATCAGGGTTACTTTAGGAGTTTTATGTCTTTGACATGCATTGATATGTCCGAAGATATCTCATTCCACACGGGTCTATCCAAAAATTGTTTCATGTTGCTTTGTAATGGTATAATGTTGGTAAGGTAATAGTAGCCCATCCCTTCAATTTTCCATAAATGGTTGGTATAGACTCTAGACCATCAAAATATGGGCGGTCTATTACTGTTTTACCCACATTACTCAGAGATATATCCCAAACACGTCCATGAACGGTCAAAGTACTGCCGGGATTGTCCTGTCCCAGGCGTTGCTGCTCTCCAAGCCCGGCGTTCCAATTCTGGTCGCACCTTGGTCCAGAGTTTTTCGGTGACCTTCATGAAGATCCCTCCATCCTATAACAATCTATGAATCGTCTATTAATTAGCATGGTTATATTATATATATATACGTGTGTGTGTGCGGATGAGGATGGATTTTGGATATATACCCTTTGGTAATCAAAGATGGGAAGCTGAACCATATTTGATATATATATATACGGAGTTTTGGGGAAATCGTCAAACTAAACGATGGATTTTCCAGCCATGGGGCTGATAACCAAGGATTGGCAACGCCGTGGTGTGGAGGGGCACTTCCAGTGCGCGTTGGCTGTGCGTTGGCTGTGGTTTGTTGCCCAGTTTTGGTCGAGATCCAGGCAATGACAAAATCAATATGCACTATACCTTTTTTTAGAGAGCTGGCCGCTGTGGGAGTGCACTTTTTTCCATGCAGTCACTACATTAATCATTATATAAGTCATTAAATGAATCATTATGTTTATCATTATATGAATCATTATATGAATCATTATATTAATCATTAAATGAATCATTAAATGAATCATCATTATATCAGTCATTATATAATTCATTATATTAGTCATTTTATTAATCATTATATTAGTCATTAAATTAATCATTATATTAATCATTATATTAGTCAATAAATTAATAATTATATCAGCCATTACATAAATCATTGTATTAATCATTATCTTAGTCATTATATTAGTCATTATAAACGTCATTAAATGAATCATGAAATGGGTCATTATATTTATCATTATATCAATCATTATATTAATCATTGTATTAATTAAATTAGTCATTGCATTAGGCATTATATTAACCATTACATTAATCATTATATGAACCATGATCATAATCATGATATTAATCATTATATTCCTCATTTTAATAATCATTAAATTAATCATTATATTAATCATGGTATTGATCATTTCATTAATCATTATATTGATCATTATATTAGCCATTATATGAATTATGATATTAATCATGTTATTAATCAGTATTTTAATCATTATATTAATCATTATACTAATCATTATAAAATTCATTATATGAGCCATGTTATTTATCATTATATTAGTCATTAAATTAACCATTTTATTAATCATTATTTTAATCATGTTATTAATCATTACATTGCTCATTATATATAAACTCATTAAATTAGTCAGTATTTTACTCATGATATTTATCATTGTATTCATCATAATATTAATCATTATATTAATCATTATATAAATATAATCATGATACTAGTCATTATAAAGGTCATTAAATGAATCATGAAATGAATCATTTTATTTATCATTAAATGAATCATTATTTTAATCATTATATTTATCATTCTATGAACCATGATATTAATCATTATGTTAGTCAATAAATTAATAATTTTATCAGCCATTACATAAATCATTGTATTAATCATTATCTTAGTCATTATATTAGTCATTATAAACGTGATTAAATGAATCATGAAATGGGTCATTATATTTATCATTATATCAATCATTATATTAATCATTGTATTAATTATATTAGTCATTGCATTAGGCATTATATTAACCATTACATTAATCATTATATGAGTCATGATAATAATCCTGATATTAATCATTTATTTTTTTAAATAATCATTAAATTAATCATTATACTAATCATTATATTAATCATGATATTGATCATTTTATTAATCATTATCTTAGTCATTATATTAGTCATTATATTAGTCAATATATTCATGAATAAATAAGTCATTACATTAATCATTATTTCAATCATTATATTAGTCATTATGTAAGTCATTAAATGAATTTTGGTTTTTCCATGGTTTTTTTGCAGTTTGGCCTGGGGGGCGCAGGTGTGCAAATTGTAGAGACGCGCATTTTTTTGAGAGGTACTGTGATGAAAGCATCTTCACATGAAAAACATGCAAAACAACAATGGAAAAAACAAAAAAAAAGTTCAGACCCATGGGCAAGGTCTGGGGATAGGCCTGGCAGGGGACATGGGTCTGAACTTTTTTTTTGTTTTTCCATGGTTTTTTGCAGTTTGGCCAAAACCTCGAGAAAACAAAAAAAAAGTTCAGACCCATGGGCAAGGTCTGGGCTATCCACACACAAACCAAAAAAAACAAAAAAACAAGAAACCAAAAAAACAAACAACAAAAAAAACAAAAAAAAACAAAAAAACAAGATTGCACACCCCAAGGGGAGGGGTCAGATGCAGAGTGTTGGGTCTTGTCTTTTTGTTTTTTTTTTGGTTTTTTGTTTTTTTGGTTTTTTGTTTTTTTGGTTTTTTGGTTTGTGTGTGGATAACTACAGTACAGCAATGTTTGCTATGACATAGTGCATTCAGCCAATGAATAGGAGAGAGGAATGGAATTCAATTTTGTCCAGTTGCGCCATATGCTGTTGGATCTTTGCACAGGAAATGCCGCAATTTGCGCACTCCCCTGGTGGCCTGTTCTGTTTTTTTAACATATATATATATATATATACATATTTAATTATACGTATATATTATATGTTTCAATAAAAATACATATATATATATATATTCATTTGCAGGCATACGCACCTTGTATGTGCACAATCTGGATCCACGGAAGTGGGGAAATGTCAATCAGATGAGCTTGGGGTACTTCAATTAGACTCGACCCTGTATGTAGTTGTACAGGTACATACACAAGGTGTGGCTCCTGAGATAGCTAAGTTGGATTATAACTAGTACAACTATGGTTTATGGATGTTTATGGTAGATGTATCAAACTCGTTCATGGTGGCTAGAAACCAACACAACTGGGCCCCAAGGAACTTCACTGACGACTCGCCGCTTGCGTCGCAGGTGCGGCTCAAGAGTTGTTTCTGCCGTGCATCGAGCGCCATGGGCTCCGGTGCGGGTACCTGTCGCAAGGCGACTGCCACGGTCGCGGAGAGCCGAGCCATGCCGCGGCAGATCAGCGATGAAGACAGGCGACGGGCACCCGGTCAATGCGGGGAAGCCGGGTATGATCTAAGCTGGGGAGAGCTGGGGGTTTAACCATCAAACATGTGAAAAGAATTGATAAAAAAGAGAAAAATCTGGGGGTTAAGCAGTTAAGAATCAACAATTTTGGTTTTACAGTACCAACAAAAACTAGGGTCAAGCTTAAAAACGGAGGTTCAACATGGTTTAACATCCTGACATGATGATAGCCACTATGATTATCAACTAGCCCCCAAGTTTGGAGATCCCAATAGATGAACAGTGAATCTAATGCGTTAAAGTAATCTACGACATTGTTGTAAATGGATATAGCATTTAGGACCGGATGATAGATAGATAGATAGATAGATAGATAGATAGATAGATAGATAGATAGGTAGGGGATTTCTATTGCCAGCTTGGATGGAACAAAAAGATTGTGAACTTAGAGCCACCATATGCCTGGCCTGCCCCATAGGCACGGAATAAGTTTGATGTCCAGGATGGTTGAGGAAAAAGGCACCGCAGTCTTTCACTTGACTCTGGGCCTCTTACTTTAGCTATTAGTTTGCTGGAAAGAACCAAATCGAGTCCTTAACAAAGAGCTGGACACGTGCCCAGCGGTGCCAAGAGGTCGTGCAGAACTTCAATCAACTCTTCCTTTAACCCATCAATCTAGTGGCAAAATGTTGACCACCCTGTCACTCCCCATTTACATAGTTCGATTAGTTCGATGATTTCTCCAGCTAGGAACCTCCATGGGTGATTTTCGATCATTTCCCGTAGTGTCCCACGATTTTTCCCATTAAAACCTCCATTTCGCTGGGATTTCCCAACCGAACATCCAGGTTGCCCTTCGAGGAGGAAAACCATCTGGAGTCCACCGAGCTGAACGGGTTGTTTCAACGAGAACCACGGGATTTTCATCAAAAGTCGCTCAGCTCCAAGGATTCCAAGGGAGGGTGGAACTCATGGGGGTTTTCAGATTGTTTTTCACGGTTTTGAGATGGTTCATGAAAAACATCCCACGGTGAAGTATCCATGAGTATCCAATGACTCTAGTTTCGAAGTTCACATTGGATTTTTCGGTGGTCCTGGGCCCCAGCTGAGGCTCCAAAACAAGATGCGACAGGAGCTGAAAAGCTACTTCAAGCCTCCCAGAGCTTGACGCTTACATGGGTGATATGGAGCCTTGGAAGCAAAGAGTCGCCTTAGTCACGTTGAATATGTTGGATTAATGGCTGGGTTAATTCAGATATGTTGCGAGCAAAATGAGCTGAGGATGTTTTTAACGTTTTTTTATGTCAGCATCTTGGGTCTGTCTTAAGATAGGCTATCCCAAAATTCCATTCGTATCTCATCTATGTGCGGGCGGCCACACCCCATCCGGAACCTAGGCAGAATGACTGAGTGATTGAAGGTTTGAAGGCGCTGGAACACACCCTACCGGCCAGCAACGGCTTGCCATCACATGGGCATGGACGTGGATTTTACGTCATGTGCAGTCCAATTCTTTTTCGAAATTCAATCAAACAAGATTCGTTTTCAGGTGCTTCTATTTTCGTTTGAGACTTTGAGGATAGTCTCATGAAATGATATGAAGGCGAACTTTCGAGCGGAGTCATCAACACATGAATCATAGTGGTGGGTCGCCCAGTGACCACCAGGATCACTTGGACATGATGTTGATGGTCCATCAAGGGCTGCAACTATTTTGGTGATTTCCCTATGCCAAATGTGAATCCCTTTGGAAAAGGCCATGTCATATATGTCACTTTGTACCTGGAGTTGACTAGCCGACTAGCCCCACACAAGTGGCACGGCAATCTATGGTGTATTTCAATGAGTTCAGTGGTCGTTTGATGATTTTTTGCCGATGCTGAACCGCAGGGCTCATGTTTTTCCAGTGCTGAACCTGTTCCAAAATTTTCCAGCATTTTCTGGGGCTGGAGCTCGATGATCCCGACCAAACACTCAACGGAGGATTGAGCCATGAACAAAACACCCATGAATTGATAGGTTAGTAGGGGCCACATTAGTTTGAAGTCAGCCATAAAGCCCTGGATTGTTTGACTGGGGTGGTGCTATACCATTTAAGCAGAAAATTATCACTATGAATCCGCGTTTATTAATTCGGGTTTGGAATTATTGGGGATCACAACATATCCAAGAATTAACGGGATCAAACTGTCTGATGTTCCCATGCCAATTTCTGAAGGTTGGAGAAATAGCCCCGGGAAAATGCCGAAATTCGTTGTGCATTGTTTTTGAAAAAGACTTTGACCATGATCACTGTGGCAAGTCTACCTTCCGCGGAGGCGCCTTCTTGTTTTAATGAAAAATCACCATTTGAGCACCGCGATGTTCAAACCCAGAACAGCTCTTTGCAGGAACACCTCGTCCTACGCCGGCGTGGTGCAGCTCGAGTTCCGTACAGTTGCAGTTGGACATGAATTTTGGTATGGATCAAGATTCAATGCCCACCACAACCTGAAAATGATGGTACCAAAGAAGTTTTGATCGAAACGTGGCGACGTGGCTCCCCAAATGGATGTGCCACGGCCCAAAGGATGGTGATCTCGAATGACTTTTCGCGTTTTTTCCCCATCCTTTGGAGTTCCCTTTTGCGGCATTTGTTTAAAAAACACTTGGGGGTTTCCTGAAATCACCCCAATTCATCCAAGTAATTGGATGGAAAAATGGATGTAGACCATGACTTAGTCTTGAAAGCCCAGATTTTGTACTACAATACTTAGATCATGGTTTATATACCAGTATTTTATAAAGCCATGATCTAGTATTTTCTATACTATCTAAAACTTTAGGAAACCTCCAGTTCTATACTTCATGACTCGTGTCCAACGGCTGAACGCCGCCGGCCGCAGCCAACTCGGTGCCCGTCCACTTGGGATGAAATGGAGGGATTGTATAACATAGAGTTACATGGATTCATATTAACATGATTTAATATGGATGAATATGACAATGGATTTGAATGAGGATTAAATATATATATATATTGGATCATGATGATGATGATGATGATGATGATGAATCAGATGTTGGTGTCACTTCAACTCCTCTTTTCATCGGCCAGGTACGGCCCTGTGGGCTTTGACCTTTTCCAGCACCTCTTCGCCCGCACAACACGCTGTCGCTCTGCCGCGACTTGGCGACTGAATCGGGATCTGTTCCAACGGTGTCAATGGTGGTTCTCATGCAAAAAATGGCCATCCAAAGCCCTGAAAAATGTGGAAATTTAGAGGTCTTTAGCATCAAAACTCTTAGTCTCTACCGAGAGAGTGGATTTCGGCGCAACATCATGGAATATTGGCTCAAAATGTTGCATTCACTATCTACTGGATTGGGGGGTATCAACCAAACGTGGAGGGTACTTCAATTTATTGCTGTCAGTTGATGAGAGTGGAACACACTTGGAAAGATTGTGGTTTTCTTTTGCTGGGCTATTCCTGAATTGTGATGATGTTTGCCAATTTGACAGGTTTTTTGGGTAAGTGGTAGTTTCACTATGTTTCGGAATATTCTTCCTTTGACCAACCCACGATGCCACCATGATTGCCACTGCTTGCTGCAGACGCGTCACGATAGCCATCGAAGTCGTGTCAATGACTTCCGGAAGAGGTGCGCAAAGGGCGGGGCTCAGGCGGCAGAAAGTGATGGGTGTCACCTTAAAAATGGGGATTATTGATGCGAATTTCACCATATTATAAGATCTATAAGTGGGGAGTTAAGATGGTTTAATAATGGGTTAACGGTTTTGGTTCGAAGTTCAAACATTGGCAGCCAATCCAGTGTCTAGGGTGGCTAGGAAGCATTGCTGCCCATCAGGCGATGTCATTTTTGCCAAATTCCAAGCACCGAATTTTCGAAACAAAAAATCTGGGAAAATCATACCTTTACCATCCTGGAATCCAACGTGTAACAGTTGTTGCCATCATTTATGGTGGGGTTGAAATTGGTGTTAAATTACGGTTGCCACCAGCTTTGAGGGATACCCTCACCCTCCAGGAAACCAGGGGTTCCATGGAGTGTTACCTTCATTGAAAAAAAAACAAATGTGCTGCAGATCCCCACGCCTTCTCCAATGCGCAGGGTGAACATTCTCTTTATGTCACGATCTCAGTAATGGGAAGGCCATGGTTGGCACAAGTGTTGTTGGCTCCCAAGATGTTGATGGATGTTAGATTGTTGGACACGGTTACGCACCGGCAATCCTATGCCCCCCAAAAAAGTAACCCCGCACAAGCCCGCCGAATTGTGAAGAGATGAAGGTTCTCTTGGCAAAAAAGGTGCTTTATTGGGGAGAATGAACTTCAGTACATCCCACTTCTAGTGAAATCATCCCCATATTTTTTAGTGTAAAAGCCTATCCCTCCGAGGAATATGTTGCGTGGCCTCATTTGGAAGGTGCCAGACAAGGCATCCACTTGCGGCGGTGTATTCAACACGGGCCGTTAGGACAATGGTGAATCTCTTAGGTTATTCGGTAATTGGTGGATGTTCTCTCTAAAAGTTGAGGTGTTGATGGGAAAATGATAGAAAATTGTTGATTACCATAGGGTATCTACACTTGGAAGATTTGCGGTTGCTAAGATGGCTTGATTGCCAGGTAAGACAAATCTACTACTCATTTCGCTGGCGGTTTTCTTCTGTACAATCCGCCCTTGTGCGCTCCCCACACTAAAATCAATTTCAAGGCATCCACACATTTACAGACAAACATAGACAAACCCAATATCAAGTTGGTTGCACATACCATAACCACATGTAGGCCCACCCCTTATGAACGCCGTTTCGGGATTCTGATTGCATGGCTGCCAGGACTTCCAAGCTTTGCGAGAAGGTGCCGGGTATGGTGTTTGAATATTCCCCAAATAGTAGAATTGTGCAAATGGGGGTATGGGTTACCGTTGGGCTTGCCAAAATTTTGCAATATCCAATGAAAATTGCAGTAAGAGGCCATGACATGGCTGATTTCTGACCCGTGCTTGGACCAAATAGCATTTGCAAAGGGATTTAAAGCTACGGATGATTCAACCCCTGCACGAGGCGACCATGCCGATGTGCAGGTGGTGGCATTTGGTTGTCACACACGCACACACAGATATGTAATATATATATATATGCACCAGGCCCTGCCACCACCCCCTCCCCCCCATGGGATGGGTCCCATATACTGGCCCCATATGAGATCTTCCCCCTCCCCCCCTGTGGTGTGGTGGGTGTGTGGTATGGTATGTTGGGTATGTATGGTGTGTATGGTCGGTCTGGTATGGCATGTTTGGAAAGTATGGTATGTTTGGTATATGTGGTAGGTATGGTATGTATGGCATGAATGGTTGGTATTGTATGGATGGTAGGTATGGTATGTAAGTCTGTTGGGTATGGTATGTTTGATATGACAGTATGTATGGTCTGTATGGTATGTATGGTTACTATGATGGGTATGGAATGTTTCCTATGTAAGGTAGGTATGGTATGTATGGTATGTATGTTTGCTATTGTATGTATGGTAGGTGTGGTAATTATCTTTCATATGTATGGTATGTGTGGTATGTATGATAGGTATGATAGGTATGGTATGCATGGCATCATTGGAATGTATGGTAGGTACGGTATATGTTAAACACAGGTAGTGTTTTTAGAGTACACAGGTAGTAAATAGGAAGTAGATGCATAGCACATGTATATATGACTGGGTAGCACATAGGTGCTTTGAGGGAGTATGTGTGCTGCGTAGGTCGCCTAAAAGGTAGCATGTACCTAGTAAATGCGATGCTGGTAGTCAGAAATGCTGCAAAGACCTAGCAAATACGAAGCTGGACCTCAGAAATGCTGCCAATAGCTTGCAAATAGAAGGGAATTGGGGGTGCTACCTGGGGACCCAACCCATTGGGGGGGAGGGGGTGGAGAGACGGAGGACGGGACCATATATACATATATTTGTACTGGCACGCACCCCCAAGAATTTGACAAGACTTGCTACTAAAATCATCTTCCAGTTCGGCACAACCTGCTGTTCCAACTGGACGGCCTTTGAGGACCTCACCTGGTGCCGAGGTTATCACCGAGCGATGCAAGGGGCCTTGGTCCCTTCGCCGCTGATGTGCCGAAAGCTCAAAGAGGCGCCAAAACAGCTCAAAATCCCCTGGTCGATCATCATTTTCCCATTACCCGGCCTGGTAAAAATACAAAAAACGATGGAGAATCACATTTTTTTATGGGAAAATCAACTATTTCTATGGTCATGTTCAATAGCTATGTTAAATTACACAAGGTAAAAAAGATATTGGAATTATCGTGTTTGCACACACCCATATGGTTCTTTTGGGGAGGAGAAGATGTTGGACACTTTTACCCGAACAAGTTGGCCCCAAAGTGATTGGATGGTTGACTCCGATGCCCAAACGAGTCATTCTTCCATGACGGTTCTCCATGCCTTTTTGGTTACATTCATCACCGAGAAGATCCCATTACAATGGGACAAAAACACAAGTAAAGGCAATGAAAAGTCCAATGGCAGATGTTTCGTTGTCATGTTTGTTTACCAGAGGGTGTTCACTGGTCAAATCCCATGTTGGTTTGGCGCTATTTTTGGGGATGGCCCAAACCCCATGCTTGCTTCGTTCAGGTGCGTGACACGTGGCCCGAAGGAGCTCGTGTGGCGCGGGTGCTCAGTTCTCTTGGCATGTAGGATGGCGAGCGCGAAAGGGCCCGTACATGTCCCCACAAAAGATTGAAGAGTACATCACTAGTCCAAATTAGTATGGATTGACATTTTTTTTTGGTTTCAGGACCACCATATGTTACAGAACAAATCCACCTCGCTTGGGGAGCTGACTGCCAACGGTTTTGCATATGGATGTGCCTGAAAATGGAGGACAGCCTCCTAATCACCATTAAAAGATGGGGATAGTGATAAGTGACAATAATCATGAATAATCCAATGGAATTCACCACTAAAATATGGGAAGATATGTGTAATAATCATGAATAATCTATTGGAATTGGTGGTACCTTTTTTCGGACAAACTGGCAAACCATGACAAACCCGTATTTTGCCACACATGATGGGAGTATCATGGTCAGCGTTTCTTTGGGGATACTGTATCTAAGATTCGCCGCGATAGAGCTGGAAGATTCTATGCGCAGGGTTTGTGCCACTCATGATGAGGTTGTCCTAAATCATATTCACATCTTGCCTTGGCATTGTCTTGGCCCTTTCCATGTGCCTTTAGGAAGGGAGCATCGAAGTGAGAAAACTCTCCTGATACCATTAGTTCTCCTGGTAAACTAACATATATATATATATATATAGCTATTGAAAATTGCCATTTATAGTTGATTTACCCATTAACAATGGTGATTTTCCATACTTAGTATCCGAAGATGGTGACACAGCTCTGTTTCTAGAGGAACAACCCTCCAATCGCTGCGAAAAATTCCATGAGGTCGGAGTCCACAAGCGTTTGGGCACCAATGAGGCAGGCCACTTTTATCACAGCGACCTCGCTGGAGCAATGGTTAGCAAGTGAAAAAAAAAATGCCCAGGCATATGTAGACTGGATGCATGGATGTATTCTGTATTATAATATGAATATATGTATGATTATGTATGAGTATGTATGTGTATATATATGTGTGTGTGTGTATGATGTAATCTAATGTGTACATATGTATGTCTATCCTGTATGTGTGCTGTACAGACTTGGGTGGACTAGATGCGATTCAGCTTGGGCTTGGTCCCGCACCTGCTGGGCCAACAGAGGATCTTGTAGCACTTTTGTCATGACACATTGGTTTGCCATCAGATACCCCAGCTGGCTAGCCCGGAAAAAAATCAGATTGACTTCAAAAAGTGCTGGAACGATGATTTTCCATGAGTTTCCTTTATCCTTGCCCTCACAGTATATCTTTCGCAAGGGACAGCATTTCACGATCCATCCCTACCTGAGATGATGGTTTCATTAGGCTCCAATCAGTTATATAGTCATGGCTTCATATCCCCAATTTGCTGGGTGAAAATCCTACTGTATTTGTTTGATGAAACCAGCAAGCAATACTCACGTAGTTATCCACCATTACTGTGTTTTCTGGTAACAAGCAAAAACACATGATGTGGGAATGTAGTGGACAAGATTCCGATCATTTGATGGCAGGCTTTCCCACAGAATCCCATCCCCCATTCATATTAAACACCCCCATGGTTAATGGTCCCAGTCATGTGTGGTTTCATCCCCTACATCCACCATGGTGAATCGAACGGGGTGTTGTGTTTAGCCATGGCGGTTCCAGGAATCAGTCAGTTGCGATTAACAGTTCCATATCCCATTACATCATATCCAATCAAAAAATAGTTTCTAAACAATAGCTGGTTGGTGGTTTCAAACATTTCTATTGTCCATTATATATTGGGAAAAATGATATTTCTCAGAGGGGTAGGTCAACCACCGACCAGATAATTTACCACATATACCACATCATATCCCACAATATCTAGTTACATATCCCATGATTATTGGTTGATCATTAGTCGGGCAAGGGATAAATATCCCACACCTGCAGGTTGCGGCTTGCCAACTGGCCCAGCGGAATCCTCCACCGGAGGAATATCTGGCCGTGGCCGGGGGCTCGTTGGGACGGCGCGATACATATAATTATTCACGCAATTCAGTATGATTATGATTATTTTTTGCATATTCTGCAAATAAACTACATGAATAAATAAGTATACATATAACATTTACATATACACACATATACATATACATATACATATACATATACATATACATATACATATACATACACATATGCATATGCATATACATATACATACACATATGCATATGCATATACATATACATGCCATATCCATAAATCTACACTGCATCCGTGAATTCCGTGAACTCGTTTTTGGTCAGGCCAAGGCACTTCTGCAAAGAACTCCGTTGGGGTCTCTGCGGTATCTGTGGTTGGACGACGGGAAATGTTGGGCCTGGCAAGCTCTTTTACCGTGAAGAGTTGGAAGGCAGCACGCGATTCAGAACCAAGAAATGTCAGATTTGATTTGGGATTTTTGCATTTAACATATTTAATTGTTTAACCAGATCTTTATAGGACTTGATGAGCCGACGAACATGTCAGATTTCTCTGGGAGTTTGATACGTTTAAGCAGCAAAGTTTGGAGATTTGCGGTGCTAAATCAGAGATAAAATTGGGTGGAACCCACAGGTTTTGCAGGTCACATCTGTCTTGTCCTGCCATGGCCGTGTTGGGGCCCATGACATTCAGATCACATAAAAGGAGCGACTGGAACGGCCAAGGTAGAAAACAAACATAACATAGACCCGGGCAAGCCGGCGGCGGAAGTTTCCCAAACATAAAAATGACCTATAGTTCAAAGACAACCTGTCCCGACCGTGTCCTTCCCTCGAGACTCCACACCTCACACTGCACACTGCACTCTTCGCACTCCAAACTTCAAACTTCACACTCCACACTTCACACTTCACACTCCACACTTCTCACTTCTCACTGCTTCCTTCACACTCCAAACCTCACACTTCACACTTCACACTGCGCTCTTCGCACTCCAAACTTAAACTTCACACTCCACACTGCACACTTCACACTCCACACTTCACACTTCTCACTTCCCACTGCTTCCTTCACACTTCACACTTCACACTGCACTCTTTACGCCCCACACTTCCCACTGCTCTAAACCTACGTGCAACAAAAAAACACTAGTGCCAAAATGGAGAAAATCTGCTGACAAATCACTGTGGCAGCCTTCATGCAGCCACTCCAATACGATTTACGAAGTCCAGCTGCAAAAGACAATAGTATTACCAATGCAGCCACAGCACGAAGCAACCTTGACGCAGCCATTACAATGCGATCTGCAGAGACTGAGTTGCAAAACACAATAGAACTACGCGCAACGGCGTCGGAAATTGTAGCTCCAAAACCGGATGGATCTCGACGCCAGAGCGAAAAAAAGACGATTTTGAAGCACTTTTTAAAAGGATTCTTAGAAGGAAAATCGCTAGCGCCAAAATGGAGAAAATCTGCTGACAAATCACTGTCGCAGCCTTCATGCAGCCACTCCAAGACGATTTACGAAGTCCAGCTGCAAAAGACAATAGTATTACGCATGCAGCCACAGCACGAAGCAACCTTGACGCAGCCATTACAATGCGATCTGCAGAGACTGAGTTGCAAAACACAATAGAACTACGCACAACGGCGTCGGAAATTGTAGCTCCAAAACCGGATCTCGACGCCAGAGCGAAAAAAAGACGATTTTGAAGCACTTTTTAAAGGATCACTGGCGCCAAAATAGAGAAAATCTGCTAACAAATTTATTTCGCAGCCTTCATGCAGCCACTCCAATACGATTTACGAGATCCAGCTGCAAAAGACAATAGTATTACCAATGCAGCCACAGCACGGAGCAACCTTGACGCAGCCATTGCAATGCGATCTGCAGAGACTGACGACGCCAGAGCGAAAAAAAAAAGACGATTTTGAAGCACTTTCTAAAAGGATTTTTAGAAGGAAATTCACTAGCGCCAAAATGAAGAAAATCTGCTGACAAATCACTGTGGCAGCCTTCATGCAGCCACTCCAATACGATTTACGAAGTCCAGCTGCAAAAGACAATAGTATTGCGAATGCAGCCACAGCACGAAGCAACCTTGACGCAGCCATTACAATGCGATCTGCAGAGACTGAGTTGCAAAACGCAATAGAACTACGCGCAACGGCGTCGGAAATTGTAGCTCCAAAACCGGATCTCGACGCCAGAGGAGAAAAAGTTGATTTTTGAAGCGTTTTTTATAAAGAATTTAAATAGAAAATGAAAGCAGGCAAAATCTGAAAGAATCAAGCTGCAGCAAGTTCACGCAGCCATTACAATGCGATTAGCAACAGTCCCTAGCAAAACACAATGGTATTACGTCCTCAGCTCGTCCACCGAAGCATTTGAAACCTTCTAGACATTGCGGGAACGATCCTACAGTTGCAAAGCACAATGGAATTCCATCGGCAACTCATCCACCAGCAACACTTGCAATCCCATTTACATATTTTACATTGCGGGAACGATCCTACAGTTGCAAAGCACAATGGAATTCCATCAGCAACTCCACCAGCACCACCTGCAATGCCATTTGCATTGCGGGAACGATCCTACAGTTGCAAATCACAATGGACTTCCATCGGCAACTCATCCACCAGCACCACTTGCAATCCCATTTACATTGCGGGAACGATCCTGCAGTTGCAAATCACAATGGAATTCTGTCGACCGCACATGCACGAGAAACAGTTGAAACCCCATTTACAATGCGGAACCGATCCGACCATGATCCGAGCATGATCCGACCACACACGAGACCGTCTCGCACCCGTCGCACCGCAGAGGTAGATCATCGAGGTTCGGGGACGGACTTTGTATGGAAAAACATATGGTTTCGTGCATCTGCTATCTCTCAAAAACGCATTTCGTGCGAGACTTCCTTCAAAACTCCATCGGCAACTCCTCCACCAGCACCACTTGCAATGCCATTTGCATTGCGGGAACGATCCTACAGTTGCAAATCACAATGGAATTCCATCGGCAACTCATCCACCAGCACCACTTGCAATCCCATTTGCATTGCGGGAACGATCCTACAGTTGCAAATCACAATGGAATTCTGTCGACCGCACATGCACGAAAAACAGGTGAAACCCCATTTACAATGCGGAACCGATGATCCGCCCATGATCCGATGATCCGACCACACACGAGACCGTCTCGCACCCGTCGCACCGCAGAGGTAGATCATCGAGGTTCGGGGACGGACTTTGTATGAAAAAAAACATAGGGTTTCGTGCATCTGCTATCTCTCAAAAACGCATTTCGTGCGAGACTTCCTTCAAAAATCCAACTTGAAGATGTCATTTACAATTAACTCTTTCCCTCACTAACTCTTTCTTTGACTAACTCTTTCCCTGATTAACTCTTTCCCTAACTAACTCTTTCCCTCACTAACTCTTTCTTTGACTAACTCTTTGTATGGAAAAACATAGGGTTTCGTGCATCTGCTATCTCTCAAAAACGCATTTCGTGCGAGACTTCCTTCAAAAATCCAACTTGAAGATGTCATTTACAATTAACTCTTTCCCTCACTAACTCTTTCTTTGACTAACTCTTTCCCTGATTAACTCTTTCCCTAACTAACTCTTTCCCTCACTAACTCTTTCTTTGACTAACTCTTTCCCTGACATTCTAAAAGTTACAATTAACTCTGTCCCTAACTAACTCTTCCTTTGACTAACTCTTTCCCTGACAGTCCCTAACTAACTCTTTCCCTCACTAACTCTTTCTTTGACGAACTCTTTCCCTGACATTCTCAAAGTCCGTAACACGGAAGTTTCTCCCCCTAAACTTCCTTTGATCATGATGTGTATGGAATGCCCCTCAGACACCGTTTGACACTGAACTAGAATCTCATAATGAAAGATTTGTTGGAAGATTCTTAGACTCTCTTTCTTTTGATTGTTCAAGGGCAAATGGCAAAAGGTTAATGTTGGTGACATATCCCCATTACATCCCATTACATCCCCATTCTTGTTGGCTTTATACTCGGAGGATGATCCGACAAATCGTAACTGGTTGGTAACCCTATAGAACCCTCGTTCTAGTAAGTCCCCATTCAGTATATTCAATGGGCTACCCCGCTATAAACGAGCAATGTTCAAAACCCCAGTTGGTTGATGAATATAGAGGATTATATTTAGCAATATATTGAAGATTGCCACAATCCATGAACGGGGAATCCCGTTCTCAAACAACCAGCATACATGGGCAACACAGGGGGTTGAACAATCCTACTTGGGAACTGGTAATCCTGGTTAGTAAGTCCCCAGTGGGTTATCCTATAGAACTAGTTGTGACTATGGATACTAACTACTGTGCGTTATTCACTATGGTTATAAGTACGGATCATCAACTATATATTTAATATATATATATATATATATAAATTATGTATGGTTATTAAATGACTTATAACCATGGGATGATCCTCCATTCGCCAACGTTTTGCTGCCCAGGCCTGGGGTGCCGCAGGACCGACATGGGAATTCATCGTCGAGATTTGGATGAAACCCCATTCAGGGATGGTTCAACACCTATTAAACACCATGTTTCCATCATTTTTGTCAGGTTTAAAGCTACGTGTTCTAAGTGTTCGGTCCACGTTTCCATTAACAACACCCAATGGCCCAACGCCCATCGCCCCGCCTTCGCCTGGCCCACAGGTACTGTACCTCGCCACCGATGAGGTGCAGACGGCAGAAGCCTTTCGCAAGGCGAACAGTGAAGGATTGGAGACTGATTGGTGAATCTTGGATGAATGGTGAATCAGTGAAATAATGAATCGTTATTAATGGATTAATGGTGAATAATCATTATTTATGGATTAATGATCATTATCAATCAATTAATCAGTGAATCAGTTATTATTGGTGATTAATGGATTATTGGTGACTAATGGATTATTGATGACTAATCATTGCAATAATAATTGATGAACGATTGGTGAATCTTGGATGGTGAATGATTGGTGATGAGTTGGTACCATGATTATTGGATGATGATTATGATCATTATCTAATAATCATAATCATAGTGTTAATATGTATCATTATCATTGGTATCCATTGGATGATGATTCATTTTGTCCATTAACAAAAATCATTCACTAGCAATAATTAATGATTAATTGATGCAGGATGGTGACTGATTGGTGGTTTGATTGTGGATCACTAGCATTTTTTTTGTGATAGTCATTGGGTAATGATTATGTAGTAATTGGCTAATATTGGATAGTTGATGGGATGGCTAGCAATTCTAGTGACAGTGACGGTTAAATCGTGATTATGAATGATGAATGGGATGGTTAATTCATGGGGGTAACTCTTCAGTTAAAAGTCAGGATTTATTAATCCGGGGTTGGCATGAATTTCGTATGACCTAAAGCCGGTTCTAATGTTATCTGCAGTTCAATCTAACTTCCTTGCCGATAAGTGAGTAGACATGCGCAAAGGATCGGTCAATGGAATACAGGGCGTAAGATTTATCGTACCTATAGCTGGTACTGGGAGCTTTTTACCAATAATGAAATGGTGCATGTGCCTGAGCGCCGGTCGTATAGATCAACTGCAAAGTTGCATTCGAGGTTTTTTAAGCAGCAAGAGGATTCGAGAAAGTTGGATTCGACCTATAAAAATAGATATCTACGAAGTCAATCAAGAGCTGGTGCGTGGCCACAGTGGAATTCCGTACTGCAACTACATGCCCTCCCCAAATCAACAGTTTGACATTGAAATAAAACTGTTGTTAGTGAGAACTAATCCTGTAACATCTCATTTGGCAGCATCTGTGTCAATTGGAGGGATTGCATATAGTTTAATAAGATTCAGGTGTTCATGCTTCACTTATCCGCAATGAAGCTCGAAGCGTGTTGCGAGCACTCCAGCCACCAAAAAAAACACTAGAGATGGGTATGAACATGTATGAACCAACTCCGGATGATTTTACAACCCGCTTTACGGGGGAACCATGGCCGTCTTAGGCTTTTTCGTTAACCCACAAGGACCTAAATTGCAGATTTTGAGAGGCAAAGGCAGGTAGGTTGTTTCGTGTTTGTAGAGGATGGGAACCCTGCCTAAACTCGCTGAAATTTGATGAAATTTGAATCGAACACCCTTTGTAAAACTAATTGCTGAATTCCAAGTTTGAGTAGGTGAACAATGTACTGTACACATGTGCCATTTTCAGGCCCTTCCACCTGGTGGTCAGGCTCCGCTGGGGATGTGTCCATTGGAACCGCAGCTGGAAATCGCGGAAATTCACATGTTTCAGCGGAAAAAAAGATGTTTTCAATAGGACATCCATCTAAAAGTGGTGAACATGTTAGATAATTTTGCCTTTTTTTGTTCCAACACCTCTGTCATTGGATCCTGGATTCCGTATGAAAACTCATTTTGTTCCATCGCGAAAGCCATTTTGGTGGTGTGCTGGTCTGGGCCTGCAGGGCGCGGTAGCCATTTTTTGGGTGAAAAAATTAGGCCAACCACTGAGTTTCTGGCAGACACAACTCTAGTTATAAGTTTTCGGAGGAAGTTTAGAAGTCAAACTTCCGACAATATGGACAGATGAAAAGCAGAGTAGGGCAGAGGCAGAGAGAAGAGAAAGATTAGAAGAGAGAAGAGTAGAAGAGAAAGAGTCAGAAGAAAGAAGATGCAGATGCGCGAAAAGGTAGGAAGTCGCGAAACACTGTTTTTCCATGATTTGTGGCTCCGGAGGGTCGAAAAGTAGGGCTCCTAAAGCGGCGGGTGCGGAGCCAGGATGGCAATGAGAGATGAAAAGTTGCACGCCGTGGTGGTGCGAAGCACATTTCCAAGTCAAAAGGTACAAACACACACCATTCTCGGACCACCTTTGGAAGTTGAGATGTCGAAAAAGTGCACGCCGTTGTGGCGCGAAGCGCATTTCCAAGTCAAAATGTACAAAACACACCATTCTCGGACCACTTTTGGAAGTTGAGATGTCGAAAAAGTGCACGCCGTTGTGGCGCGAAGCACATTTCCAAGTCAAACTGTACAAAACACACCATTCTCGGACCACTTTTGGAAGTTGAGATGTCGAAAAAGTGCACGCCGTTGTGGCGCGAAGCACATTTCGAAGTCAAAATGTTAAAAACACCAGGGGTTCGGACCACTTTTGGAGGTTCTGATGTGGAAAAAGTGCACACCGTTGTGGCGCGAAGCACATTTCGAAGTCAAAATGTTCAAAGCACTAGGGGTTCGGACCACTTTTGGAGGTTCAGATGTCGCTTGCTTCGCTTCACTACACTACATTACACTACACTACACTCCACTACACTACACTACATTACACTACACTACGCTCCACTACACTACAACTACAACTACAGAACTACACTCCACTACGCTCCACTACACTACATTACACTACATTACACTACACTACACTATGCTACCTTCCACTACACTTCACTACATTACACTACACTACACTCCACTACACTACAAATACAACTACACAACTACACTCCACTACACTCCACTACACTCCACTACGCTAAATTACACTACACTACACTACATTACACTACACTACACTCCACTAGACTACATTACACTACACTACACTCCACAACACTACAACTACAACTACACTCCACAGATGGATGGATAGATAGATAGATAGATAGATAATTAGATGAAAGAGAGAGAGAGATAGATAGATCGATAGATAGATAGATACATAGAAGATAGATAGGTAGGTAGGTAGGTAGATAGTGAGAGAAAGAGCGAGAAAAAGTGGGAGACCTCAAGCACCTTTCGGTCCATCAGTGGATTCGCTCTGCCATCCCTGATTCACAAGAACCAACCTCTCCTATAGGTTTCCTATTTTTGAAACTTCCGCCACCGCCTTGTGCGGTACTACTGGTATGTTGGCCTAGAAGTTAGATGGTGTTTCGCTGATACTTAGAGGAGTAAGCATAAACCAAGTATTTTAGTTGGTGGGCACCACCTTGGATTTGTGTTCTGGATACGCATCCCTTGCTTCCAGGGAAAGGTTAGATGGAAACAACCAGAGTTGGAAACTGTCCCTTCGTTCAGCCAAGCGAATGCATTCTACAGTGTCCATGCGAAACCTAAAGTAATTCTATCCAATTAATGTGCCCCACATGTCAAAGTTTTGTTCATAAAAAGTCAAATTTGGTATAAGCTGTTCATAGGTATGGTTTCTTATTTTGCGTTGCCTATGTTGAAGGTTTGAACATCGTAAAGTTCGTAAGTATATGATATATAATACAAATAATTAGATATATATATATATTATTTATTGTTTCCTTTGATGTTTGTGATGTGCCACATTGTGCCATTGGTTATTGATTATTGATTTAACCATTCACCATAATTATTCACATATGCAAATAAAAACAGATAATCATACACACCACATCATGTTGATATGCCGATGTTTACTTGGTGGTGGCTCATGCCACTTAGTAACTAGGTTAGTTCACCCCTGTTATTTCAGTGGATTAACCCTCATCCCACTGAAAAGACCAGTTAAAGACCAGGGATATAAATATATATGATACATGATGTAACCTGCTTCAGATTCGTGGGATGAACCACCAAGTAGCACGCTCCGCGCAGATCCAGCTGTGCTGCCGAGAAGAAGTGAAGCGCCTCGACGGCACCGGGGGCGAAGAGGCGACAAGAATATCGCGAAGAGGAAGTGGATAAGAATCAGATTATACTCTAGCTATGTGTGGATATTTCCAGATATGAAATGGTTTGAATACTATATATATATATAATGTTGGGTTAGGATTAATAAAACCCCCAAATTAATCATACCCCTTTTCACCGGATTTTTTTGGGCAATACTAAAGTCCTCTACGTGCTGATTTCCCCCCCTAATAATGGAACACTACCCCCGAATTAATCATACCCCTCCGGGATCCCCAAATTTTTGGTGGGACTAATTTGCTATTACTCCCCTTTACTTTTTAATTCGGGTTACAATTTCCAGGGTTACTTCCTATTTTGGTTTACCATAGGTATTCTTATCTTTTCTCATTGGAATCTGATGGTTTACCATTCATTTTCGAATCTTCCCTCATAGGAATTTGATGGTTTCTACGTGGTTTCCTCATCTTCCCTCAGATGGTTTACCAAAGGTTTTCTGATCTTTTCTCATTGGAATTTGATGGTTTACCATAGTTTTTCTCATCTTTTTTCATAGGAATTTCATGGTTTACCATTCATTTTCGAATCTTCCCTCATAGGAATTTGATGGTTTACCATACGTTTTCTGAACTTTTCTCATAGGAATCTCATGGTTTACCATTCATTTTCGAATCTTTCCTCATAGGAATTTGATGGTTTCTACGTGGTTTCTTCATCTTCCCTCAAAGGAATTTGATGGTTAACCATAGGTTTTCCTATCTTTTCTCATAAGAATTTGATGGTTTACCATAGGTTTTCTGAACTTTTCTCATAGGAATCTCATGGTTTACCATTCATTTTCGAATCTTTCCTCATAGGAATTTGATGGTTTCTACGTGGTTTCCTCAACTTCCCTCAATGGAATTTGATGGTTAACCATAGGTTTTCCTATCTTTTCTCATAAGAATTTGATGGTTTACCATAGGTTTTCTGAACTTTTCTCATAGGAATCTCATGGCTTACCATTCATTTTCGAATCTTCCCTCATAGGAATTTGATGGTTCTACGTGGTTTCCTCATCTTCCCTCATAGGAATTTGATGGTTTACCATAGGTTTTCTAATCTTTTCTCATAAGAATTTGATGGTTTACCATAGGTTTTCTGATCTTTTCTCATAGGAATCTCATGGTTTACCATAGGTTTTCTGATCTTCCCTCTGTGCAAGGGCTGTTCTTTCAGTAGGTCGAAGCCGCGCTATTGCCAAACACACTGGTTTCAGAGATTTTTGTGGGTTGGCTCATCATGTTGGGAAGAGGTGACTTTCTTTCATTGCAAGAACTGTGCTTTCATTAGGTCGAAGCCACGCTATTGCCAAACACACTGGTTTCAGAGGTTTTGTGGGTTGGCTCATCATGTTGGGAAGAGGTGACTCTCTTTCATTGCAAGAGCTGCGCTTTCATTAGGTCGAAGCCGCGCTATTGCCAAACACACTGGTTTCAGAGGTTTTTTGTGGGTTGGCTCATCATGTTGGGAAGAGGTGACTCTCTTTCATTGCAAGAGCTGCGCTTTCATTAGGTCGAAGCCGCGCTATTGCCAAACACACTGGTTTCAGACGTTTTTTGTGGGTTGGCTCATCATGTTGGGAAGAGGTGACTCTCTTTCATTGCAAGAGCTGCGCTTTCAGTAGGTCGAAGCCGCGCTATTGCCAAACACACTGGTTTCAGAGGTTTTGTGTGGGTTGGCTCATCATGTTGGGAAGAGGTGACTCTCTTTCATTGCAAGAGCTGCGCTTTCATTAGGTCGAAGCCGCGCTATTGCCAAACACACTGGTTTCAGAGGTTTTTTGGCTCATGATGATGGG